CCAGCTGTGTCTTGTTCTGCAGGTGGCCTGTGGCACAGTGGACTGATCGACAAAAACCTCATTGATTACTTTATCCCCTTCCTGCCCTTGGAGTACAGACATGTGAAAATGTGTGTGAGGGCGGAGATGAGGGCCCGTGGTTCTGCCGTAGATGAAGACATCGTCTCGAGTGTGGCAGATGAAATGACGCTTTTCCCCAAAGACGAGAAGATCTACTCAGACAAGGGCTGCAAGACTGTGCAGTCACGGCTTGACTTCCACTGAGCTCCTATCCAGATGGGGAAGGAGGCAGCCGGGAGGCTCAGCACACCAGAGGCCTTGCCTTTTGGGAGAACTCTGAAGACCCCTTTGGGGGTTTGCCTGTTTGCACCTTAGACTTTTGGGATATAGAATTTTTTTTTTTTTTTTTTTGAGACAGCGTCTCGCTTTGTCGTCCAAGCTGGAGTGCGATGGTGCAATCCTCAACTTGCTGCAACCTCCACCTTTAGGTTTGAGTGATTCTCATGCCTCAGTCTCCCGAGTAGCTGGGATTACAGACATGAGCCACTTCACCCAGCTGGGATCTAGCATCTTAGAGCTGATTCTGGAAAACACGTGAATCTATTGCGTGTATTTATCATTCTGCAAGATGACAGAAGTCCAGCTGTTCTCTGCAGCTGAGGGTGAACTTTTAAAATCCCCTTCACACTTAAGGTACTAACTGACAGAAGTGCCTGGAAACAGGTGTGTGTGGCCGGCCCGGCAGTGTTTTCTGATCCAGAGCATCTGCACCTCAGAAGCTGCTTTCAGAACTGAAGGAGTCCAGAGACCTGCTGCATGCTTGGGGGCACTGGGTTCCCACCAGCCAAAAATATCCTTTTGTTCTGTTCCATTCTTTACACAGAGAGAGTTCACTGACTTGAAGTATACTGTTTAAAATCGGGGATGGAGGTGCCCATGGTGTCTGACAGGAGGACAGGCCGTGCCCACTGAGTGCTCTTGATCTGGGCTGACCTGTCTGTATGTGGGGTGCAGCTTCCACCTAAGACCTCTGCAGCAGACCTGGCAGACAGGTCCCTCCCATCTGTCCATTGTTCTGGCTCTAATACAACTCTGGTTGTGGAATCCTTCACCATCTCTCTGCTGGCATCAGCCCCAGCCTGCCTTGTGCCACATCTCAGCTTGGCTCACTGCTAGAGTCCCCCCAGCCACACCATCAAGGCTGAATCACAGTGAGACCACTGGCTTTGGATTTGAGTCCTTGGTTCCCACAGGAGATGCTTGACTTTATACTTGGGTCAATCCTCTCAGTTACATTGTGGAACCAATTGAAATCCTAGGACGTGCTCGTCCTGGAGAGATGACACGGGCCCAGGCTGAACAGTCAGCTTGCAGGTTCTGTATTGCCAAAGAAGTGAGAGCATTGTGTACTAGGAATGCTGGAGTTTTTGAGGATATGTTTTTTTTTAAATAATGTTTTTACTTCTGAATCTTAAATAATGGAAGTATAGGACATTGCTTATTTTAAAACGAGGGAAGGACACATCATGGAATGATTGCTTATTCCTTTCTCAGATACTCTTAAAACCATTTTTTATTGTTAAATTTGTGGTAATACATGGTCACAATGTGGATCAAACAAGGTCAGTCTAAAGTTGTGGCAGCTCCTGGGTGTCATCTGATGGTACCACCCTCTGTGGCAGTGCCAGGCTGGACTGCCCTGATCCCTGGGAAGTGAGACTTAGATTCCAGCCAGTGTGAGTCACTGTATCTCCCATAATCACAGCACAGCTGCAGACACAATCAGAACGTGCATTTTTACAAAAAAATATGGTAGAATTTGTGACATGGAAATGCCTTATAGGGTGTCACACTTAAGTCTTTAAAAAACACCAAGGTGAGGCTTACACTTTTTACTACGTATCCTCAAAGTGAAGCTAAGTTACACTTTTCTAACCTGTTGGGCATCTGGTCCAGAGGAGACAAGATTTTCTCTGTTTACAATGATGCAATAAATACGTGTTCGCCACCTTTGGACTGCTGTTGCTGATTTGTAACTTGAAAAGGCCATGGTTGATCATGACCCCACCTCCCCCCAGCCTTGTAAGATGTGGATGGGAGCTTTATTGACCTACCGAATATGAAATAATAAAGCCCAGATTTTATCATGTGAAATGTCACTTGCTAACTTCTTTTTCTGGTTTATTTGGTATCAAAGTTCAAAATGAATTTCAGCAGCACAGCTGTTGAGACTTGCCATAACCTGGACAGGCGGGTGGGCAGTCAGAGTGATACAGAGGCAATATTTACCTTAAATACTCTTACCCCAAATAGAAGTTAAATTAGCTGATGGATATTTCATCAAAGATATGGACTTCCAACAAATACTTTCTCCCAAAATTAATAGAGGAAATTGAGGTACTAGTAAAGTATGACTCACCTCTGACATCCTGAACCTGAGCCCAGGTGAGGAAACCTAACCACTGGGTCTCACTGCCTGAAACTGGTAAACTAATCTTAGTTGTGCTAATCTGGTCTCTGCTTAATGACACATAACCTGGTATCATCTCACATCAGTGAATAGCTAACACTCACCCTCTTTCAAAGGATTGAGGATTAGCAGGTTTACTAGAAAGTTCAAACCTGCATCGCCATCACCTCACCCACTCCCTTAGGAATTTCTCAACATAAGGTACTGAATTCCCAGGAGACCAACTTTCTAGGTCTTGTTCTCAGTCTAATGCAGTTCCTATTCCACCCCACACTGCCTCATCTACAAAGACAGAACCTTCCAAAATTGTCAGGGGACCCCTGTGTTCCCCAATTAGGGACTTCTGATGCCAGGGCCAGTCTTCAAATGTATGATTAGACCTAATCTGACTCCCAGGGGCAGAACAGGCCGGCTGCAGCTCAACATCCAGAACTTTCTAACAGGTGGAACCATCTTTAAGTGGCCTGGGCTGCCCTAGGGGAACCCCATGCAGGCTGGGGAGCCATAAGGCAGAGGAGTCTTGCATAAGACCTGCAGCTGAGGCCACCAACTTGTCTCTGTGCCTACTAGAAGCAGTCCCTGCAGCACTCTTGCAGCAGCTGTAACCATGGGAGCACAGCCCAAATGCAGGGACACAGGCGTGTTGCCTAACAAGGTGTGCTTAGCTTAGTCTACGCCACCGTTCTTGCTGGCATCTCAGCTGTACTTGAACTCTGTGGCTAGACATCAGGAGCTCCAAGAACCCCCGATGGAGGGCAACTTCCCAGATCACTGGGTGAGGGGACAGAGGTGTCCTAGGATCCTTAGAGCTCTGTGTGAGACTTTGTTTCATTCCAACCTGGATTGACCTGCTAGGTCTTCACTGGTAGCCTCACCTCATAAGGCCTACACCCTCTTCAAAAATGTACTCAACCAATGACACACGCAACATTTTATTGTAAAATGGTAGCCATTTGCATTTATAAATAAAGACACAGTTCTCAGCATCCTCAGAAGGGGCAGCTAAGCTTTTTAGGTTTTGGGAATTCTGATTGAACATAACAGAAAATATGATAAATTAAGATTTAATATGGCAAAATTCACATAATTTAGATTCCAGCAGAGAGCACATGTGGCTCATTCAGGAATGGACAGTGAAGGGCCGCCTTCTGCAACACCAGTGACTGGGAAGTGACAAGCTGCAGATGCTTTTCTAACAATTGCTGACAATGTTGCCAAGATCATTCCCACAGCTCCCACTGTTGTGAAGGTTAAAACCCTTGGTGAGGCCATTTCAGGCTTATCTGCAGTGCCTAAAGGTCTCCTCTTACCTACTTGTCCTTCATCTAAACACTTCATTGCCCTGGCAGCGCCTGCTGGGACCCTCCTGGGACAGAGCTGGCTCGTGCTCCAGCCACATCCCCAGCGATGCCCTCCTGTGGAACCGATGCCATGCACGTGCGCTTGGGCTCATTTGCAGTAAAGATACATCACAGTCTATGTTATGATGATGGGAACTTAAAAAACACACACACAAGGCCAACAACCCAGAATCTGAGCAGTCTCTCACAATGTTAAAAACCATTTTAGATAAAGTTACCACATTTTCAGTAAAACTTACTCATCCTTCCTTGAAACAGAAACACTTGGAATTAAAACATAATTTTTAAAAAATCATGAGCCCTGCGATGAGTGTGCTGGGAGCTGGCTCCTTCCTTCTCTGAGGGCTCGGGAGGCCTCCTGTCCTCGCCCATGGTCCCAAGGTGGCCTGCAGGCACCAGGGATGGAAACCATGCCCGGAGAATTCCTGTCACATCAAACAGGAAACATTCACTTGAGTCCTCCTCAGGGAAAGGAGCAGGGGGCAGAGGCATGGGAAGGACTGAGTGTGGAGTTTCCTCTCCAACTCCAGGCAGTGACTCTCGCTGTCAATCATGGCTGTCAATCATCGTAGTAATAATCTAACTTGGTAAACACGGTTTTGCAGCCTTTATCTGAGAAAACTCTCTCCTCTTTGGGGAAAAATGTCATCTCCTCAGCCACTCTGCTTACAATGTCTTCATCAATGTCATAGCCTCGGGACTGCATTTCGACTCTGATACACATTTTTAGGTGTTTGTATTCCAGGGGGAGGAAGGGAACAAAATAATCAATGAGGTTCCGGTCAATTAAGCTGCTGTGCCAGAAGCCACCTGGAAGAAAAAACAAGTGCTGTTCATCCACATCCACCCGCCCGCCCTATACATTTCTCCTGGGCTCACTCACCACCCCACCCACACACGTCTACTGGGGGTCACCCACCTACACACCCAGAATCTGAGCAGTCTCTCACAATGCTAAAAACCATTTTAAATAAAGTTATCACATGTTCAGTAAAACTTATTCACCCTTCATTGAAACAGAAACACTTGGAATTAAAACATAATTAAAAAAAAATTTTTTTTAATGTTTTAAAATTTTAAACATGTGGGACTCCCATCCGTCCCACACATGTCTCCTGGGGGTCACCCTCCCATCCATTCCACACACATCTACTGGCTGTGCCCTCTCCCTTATGAAGCTCCGGACCAATGAGGAGCAGATGTTAACAGGCACCTGCACACTGAGATGCTTCTGTGACAGAGTAGAAAGGGACACCCTCTTTTACACTGCAGCTGGGGGAGGCCTCCCAAGGTGTGACTTAGAGATCGCAGGTGGGAAAGAAGGTCATGAGCCCAGGGTCCTGGGGCCCAGGAATAAGCAGAGGTGCGGAGTGGGGAAGGCCGAGTTCCACAGAAAGCAGAAGCAGGAAGAGTTCCGGGAACGACTCTACCAGCCACACCCCCTTATTTGGGAAAATTTTGACTCTCCTGAAGTTTCAGCAGCTGGACCAGCCACAGGGTAGAAGCCTGCTGCCACTGCCACAGTGCCCAACCCCTATAGAGCATGTGGGCACCAAAACTAGCCTCGGGAGTGCTGAGCCCACACTGAGCTCCCCATGAAGGCCTGGCCTCGGCCCTGTTTTCTCCCCTGAGTGAGGACAGGCTTTGCACCTGCCCCGTCTACTACTCCTGGAGCTCCTGACCCAGGACATCCGCTCCCAGCCCCAGATGACACACACACTGCATCGTCCACCAGCCCAAGGGTGTCTTCCCGTGAGCTGTTTCCCTTCTGCTCTGCCAGGTAATTCCGGGACCCAGTCCCCAACCCAAGCTCCTCCTCAATCACTGGGTTAATGCTTTTCATGCCCAACAGTGCTTTGCACACAACCAGTGCTCAGTAAATGTGTGGCCGACTGGATAGAGTGGAGCTCGTGGCCAGGGAAAGAACAGGACCAACCACTGAACAGGAACAAGGGGCAGTCTTGCTATCGAAAGCTCACGTGCGAGGCTCGTTCTTGGAGGCCTGCTCTGTGCCAGCCATGCCCTGGGCCTGGGGACACAGCTGAGGGCAGCCAGCCCTCACGGCTTTACCACGCTAGGGCAGGAGACACCCGACAATTGTGCTAGGAAACAATCTCAGATGGTGCTGGGAGCGGCAAATGCTACACAGAACAGACATGATGGCGGGAGGCAAGGGCCAGGTGCTCCCATGAAGCCAGGCTGGGCAGGACCTCAGGGCAGTGCCTGAACGACTAGGACCCAGCTACACGGACCAGGGAGTGTCAGCAGAACAGGTGACCTCAGGCAGCCCTGAGACTTTACAAGCATCTCCTGAGGACTCCCAGGTTTGCCCTCCTAGCCTGAAGGCCTCTCTGGAGCTCCACCGCTCTGCTCTGATGTCCCAGATGCCATTGCTCACTGAGCTCATCCATCCTTCCTGCTGTCACTTCCCTTCAATAGCAGGGCCATCCTTCCCATCACTCAAGCCAGGTCCTTGGTTCTTCTCTCATTCCCATGTACAATTCTGCAGGAAGTCTTACAGGTTCTACCTTCAAAACACACCCAGAACCCGACCGTGTCTCTCCACCACCACTGCTTTCGTGCTGAGCTCCCTGCCCCTGTGACTGTGGGTCTGTCCTCCACCCAGTGGCCAGCAAGCTCCTGTGAAGACCCCGTCAGATCAGAGCACCACCTGCCTTGGACCCTGCAGCCTCTCTCTTCCACTTGGAATAAAAACCAAGGCTCACATGGCCCACAAGGCTTTCCATGGTCTATATCTCCACCCCAAATCTCAGCTCTTCTATCACCTCCTGTTCCCCTCCTGTTTATCCTGGACCACTCACAGTGACCCAAGCACAGGCCCCCTCAGACCCCTGGAAGTGCTGCTGGCTCTGGGGCATGCTTTCCCTCAGACATCCACATGGCTCATGCCCTTGGGTCAGCCCAAATGCCACCCTCAAAGGGAGCTTTTCCTGACCACTCTATTAACGTAGAGCCCATCCTTACCCTGTACCCCAATGTCTTTCTTGATTTTTTCCCCTCCTAGCCCTGAGGGGAAAGATATATATGTTTATGTGTGTCCATGTGTGATGTGTGCGTATGTATTGCACGTATATACACACATGAACACATTAAACACATAAACATATGTATCCCCCACCATCTGATACTCTCTTTTCCCTTTCTTCTCATTTCTTTCTTTCTTTTTTTTTTTCTGTCAGAGTCTTGCTGTGTAGGCAAGCTGGAGTGCAATGGCACGGTCTTGCCTCACTGCAACCTCCACCTCCCAGGTTCAAGTGATTCTCCTACCTTGGCCTCCCGAGTAGCTGTGATTACAGGCACTCGCCACCACACCCTGCTAATTTTTGTATTTTTACTAGAGACGTGGTTACACCATGTTGGCCCAGGCTGGTCTTGAACTCCTGACCTCATGATCCGCCTGCCTTGACCTCCCAAAGTGCTGGAATTACAGGCAAGAGCCACTGCACCCGGTCCATTTTCTTTCTTTCTTATCACTAGGATGTAAGATCTATAAGGGCAAGAATTTCTTTTATTTTCTTTGAGATGGAGTCTCACTCTTGTTGCCCAGGCTGCAGTGCAATGGCACAGTCTCAGGTCACTGCATCCTCTGCCTTCCAGGTTCAAGCAATTCTCCAGCCTTAGCCTCCCAAGTAGCTGGGATTACAGGCATGTGCCACCATGCCCGACTAATTTTTGTATTTTTAGTAGAGACGGGGTTTCTCCATGTTGGTCAGGCTGGTCTTGAACTCCCAACCTCCAGTGATCCACACACTTTGGCCTCCCAAAGTGCTGTGATTACAGGTGTGAGCCACTGCGCCTGGCCTAAGGGCAAGAATTTCTGTGTTTGTTCACGGCTATCCCCAGTCCTAGGTAGGATTCCTGGAACCTACCAGATGCTCCACATACGTCTGCTGAATGAGTTCAGCCATCTACCCAGGGTCACAGTCAGTCTGTGGGCCAGGGCTACGCGACTCCCAAGTCTGCACTCCGGAATGCCGTGTAACCTCCACTGCGTGGGTTCTGGGCCACTAGCCTCATCCACCTCAGCATTTCTACAGTTTCTGCGGCATGTGTGCATGCTTTTTGGCAAGCCAAGAAACTGTCCAGCATGTTACAAAATACTTGTCTTGCCTCAGTAGTATTCCACTTGCACAAATTGACATACAGTGCCCCACGCTGTTCACTAACTGTAGCATGAACTTCCTGGCAAGTCTGTTTCAAATGTGCCCTTCTGTTCTGTCATCTCCAGAACTTGAGGAGCAAAGGTGTGAACAGCCCTGTACAACCCACAAGTGTCAGCTGGTGAGTCGGCCTCCATCAAGCTGGCTTTCTACCTCCCTGGGTTCAAGGTCAAAGGTCTCATAAGATTCCCAGGCTGCCTGGCCCTGGGCAAGCTGCCATATATCTTTGAGTCTCAGTCTCTACCCTACAAGGTATGGGGAAGACTGAGTGAAATCCGCAGGCAGTGTTTCACACGGCACCCAGTACAGAGTAAGGGTCCGGCCACGATTTGGCTGTTGCTCTTGGGCAATGCAGAGAAAGGGAGTAACTAATGGGTCATCCCTCCCCTTGAGCTGCCCACGGCAGCCTTCCTTGCTCAACCACTGGCTCTTTCTTCTACGAAGAAAATCACGTAGCTGAAGAAAATGGGGGAACTGACTGGGCGTGGTGGCTCACACCTATAATCCCAGCACTTTGAGAGGCCGAGATGGGCGGATTGGGCAGATAACCTGAGGTCCGGAATTCAAGACCAGCCTGGCTAACACGGTAAAACCACGTTTCTACTAAAAATACAAAAATTAGCCAGGTCTGGTGGCAGGCGCCTGTAATACCAGCTACTTAGGAGTCTGAGGTGGAAGAATCACTTGAACCTGGGAGGTGGAAGTTGCAGTGAGCTGAGACAGCACCACTGCACTCCAGCCTGGGCAACAAGAGCTAAACTCCATCTCAAAAAGAAAAAAAGGGAGGGGGGAACTAATCTTCAAGATCTCAACGACCAACAATTTTCCTCATTACTTAAAATAGCAGGCCAGGTGTGGTAGCCCATGCCTGTAATTCCAGCACTTTGGGAGGCTGAGGCAGGAGGATCACTTGAGTCCAGGAAGTCAAGACCAGCCTGGGCAACATAGGAAGACCCCATCTCTACAAAAAGAGACGGCGGCACAAGTCTGTGGTTCCACTTACGTGGGTGGCTGAGCCTAGGATGTCAAGACTCCAGTGAGCTGAGATCACACCATTGCACTCCAGCCTGAGTGACAGAACAAGATCCTGTCTCAAAAAATAAACTGGGCGCAGTGGCTCAAGCCTGTAATCCCAGCACTTTGGGAGGCCCAGGCAGGCAGATCACCTGAGGTCAAGAGTTCAAGACCAGCATGGCCAACATGACAAAATCCATTTCTACTAAAAATATAAATATTAGCCGGGCATGGTGGTGTGCACCTGCAATCCCAGCTAAAAGGGAGACTGAGGCACAAGAATTGCTCGAACACGGAAGCTGGAGGTTTCAGTGAGCCGAGATCTTGCCACTGCACTCCAGTCTGGGCAATAGTGAAACTGTCTCCAAAAAAATAAAAATAAAATAGCACTTTTCAAACATCAGTGTTCATTAAAGTTACCTGGAGTTTGTCAACAAAGATTCCCCTCGTGAGTTCTGACTCGGAAGGGGACTGAGAATCTACATTTCTACCCAGCTCCCAGGTGATGGTGATGGTGACCCTAACGCTTTCACAATTAGGGTGCAGGATTAGGAACCAGATGGGACTGGTGGTGGACAGCCCTACTCACTGTTTTTGTTATTGAAAACCGACACAGATAAGGCGTGTTCAATGTCTTTGAGCTTGATGTCTTCCCTCTGCTTTCCACTCCTCCAGAAATCTAAAGCCACATCTGTGATCCTTTCTGCTCCAGCATTGCTGCAAAACAGTTCCAGTGGGTAAGGACGGGGTTTTCTCCCAGAGCTCAGAGGCTCAGGCTCGAGGCCCGTCCCTCATGTCCTAGCCCGGACCTTACCTGAGAAATATAAAGATGGCTTTCTGGTAGGAGACCCCATCCACCAGGTCGTAGTAGTCAAGGAAAGGCTTGATGGCATCTATGAGACCTGCATGCATCTTATCCATTTCATCGAATATGAAGATGGACCTCGCACAGGCGCTCACGTTGCCTCGAATCCACAACTGTAACTGGTCCTGAAGTAGAAGGGGAAAAGCCAACACAAAGTTCTCAGCCAGGGCCATCGGGCACCTCCTTCTGCCACTGAGAGCCACAGCTTCACTTACAGACCACTGTGCCCTCAGCACCAAGAACTTCACACGTGCAAAATCTTCTCTGTTCCTAACATCCCCGTGGAGTGGGCACTCTCATACACATTTCACAGATGAGGGAACTGAGGCACAGAGAGAGCTTACTCCACTTGCCCGACTATAAAATGAGTATATGGCAGAGCTGGGACCTGAACCCAGTCCTGCCTGACGCCAAAGCCCAACACTTTGATTCCTGCACTGCAAGACACCACATGGATGCTGAGAGCTGCTGCTCTTTTGTCACCAAAGAGGTCATGTGGGATGTCAGGAGGATACTGATCTTTATTTTAAAAGGGGGCGGGGCTGGGCGTGGTGGCTCACACCTGTAATCCCAGCACTTTGGAAGGCTGAGGCAGGCAGATCAGTTGAGGTCAGGGGTTCGAGACCAGCCTGGCCAACATGGTAAAACCCCGTCTATTAAAAATACAAAAATTAGCTGGGCATGGTGGCAGACACCTGTAATCCCGGGTACTCCGGAGACTGTGGCTTGAGAATCGCTTGAACTCAGGAGGCAGAGGTTGTAGTGAGCTGAGATCGCCGCACTGCCACTCTAGTCTGGGTGACAGAGCAAGACTCCATCTCAAAAAATAAAAATAAAAAATAAATAAAATAAATAAGGATTCACCCAGACCTGTTAAGCTCCAGCAGCCAAGGTTTTCCTACTCTGGTGACCCAATTTATACGTGGTAATAGGAAACGTACTGAGCACTCACTATGGGCATGACAATATTCTAAGGACTGTTCATATATATATATATATATATTTTTTTTTTTTTTTAAAGACAGGGTTTCACCATGTTGGTCAGGCTGGTCTTGAACTCTCGACCTCAGGTGATTTGCCCGCCTTGGCCTCCAAAGTGCTTGGATTACAGGTGTGAGCCACCACGCCTGGCCCATATATATATTTTTTGAGACAGAGTCTCACTCTGTTGCCCAGGCTGGAGTGCAGTGGTGTGGTCCTGGCTCACTGCAACCTCTGCCTCCCAGGTTCAAGTGATTCTCTTCCCTCAGCCTTCTGAGTAGCTGCGATTACAGGTAGCTGCCACCACACCCAAATAATTTTTATATTTTTGTAGAGACCGGGGGGGTGGCGGGTGGGTGTTCGCCATGTTGGCCAGGCTGGTCTTGAAATCTCGACCTCAAATGATCCCCCAGCCTTGGCCTCCCAAATTGCTGGAATTACATGCGTGAGCCACCATACCTGGCCTGTTCACAAAACATATTACTGTGACCTCCTAAAACCCATCATAGTAGTTATTGTTGTGTTCCTTTTACAAATCAGGAAACTGAGGCACAAACGAGTGAAGTAACTTGCCCAAAGACACAGTTATTCTTAGTGAAACCTCAGTTCTACCATGACCAACTCATCCTGATTTATCTAGAATGGTTCCTGTTTGTTTGGGACAGGGTCTCCCTCTGTCGCCCAGACCAGAGTGCAGTGGCTCTGTGCTCACTGCAGCCTCAACCTGCCAGTTTCAAGCCATCTTCCTGCCTCAGC